TAAAAACCAAATATCAATTCCTACACAACTCGACGAGGGCTACAAAAATAGCATAATGAAATCTTGCCGGCAGAATGTTCTGTAAAAAGTGGGCGGAGCTGCGTGGAAGTACCCATCTGTTTCTGAATAAATTGTTGCTAAATGAAAAAATATCTAAATTTCAGTATAATGTCAATTTTTATACCACTGACTACTGATCCTGTGGCATTGACACTTTTCTCTTCTTTTACACATAGCTCATTCTATCAACTGAAATACAAAAACAAAGCAATATTAAAAAAAGATGTTAGCACAATTTCTGCGGGATTTAAATGTGAAACATGATGTAGCTACTGTTACTAATCAGAGGAAGATCGTTTTATTCTACACATGTTGGAACATATTTCTTCACTCTCCTTTTACTTAATCCTCCAGAAATGCCATAAGAAAGTAGTTAATATGTTGCAACGAGCTGTCATTGATACACGGTCTGTGATCGTATATCTGCAACGTTTGTCGCGATCCTCGTGGGGAAGGGGGCAACCATGTCTATCACGGTCTGTGATGGAGTGCCAGGGTGTCTGTTACGGTCTCTGAGGGAGTGCCAGGGTGTCTGCTACGGCCTCTGAGGGGGTGCCAGGATGTCTGCCGTGGTCTGTGGAGGAAAGTGGGTACCTTGTCTGTCAAGATCTGACATGGGATGCCAGAGCATCAGTCATGATGGTTGATGAAGTGACAGGATGTCTGTAATGGTCCATGATGGGGTCCAAATTTCTACCCTATATAGTTCAACACTCCTTTTAGATCATGTTTCACAAAATGATATCTTTTCTATTCTTTTGTTTTTGTATTGATCAGCATAAATTATTATTTTGTGTTTAGTGGAGATGGTTCCTACTATGGTTAATCCTGTCGAAGTATTTACTTCGAGTCACTGCTCCGCATCGAACTCATTGATTCTTGATGAAGTCTTCGAACAATATACTAATGGCATTCAAATAGAGGACAATGGCTACGTTGCTTCACATGGTACATCAATGAATGGTGGAGAAGTACGTGGTAAAAAAGAATATATATCAGGCAAACATCAATTGCGTTTTAAAATTGAAAAATCTTCTACGTTCATCTTCATTGGTATTATTTCTAAAACTACTCCAATGAAAGAAAACTCTTACAAATCTTTATCATCCTATGGTTGGGTATCTCAAAATCAGTATACCGGCGGTTTGATCTCTAAAAAAATTGATGTATTGTCTAATTATAATAATCTTGAAAATGATATCATTGAACTTGTAATTGATTTGACAACACGAACACTTCATTATACTAATGAACGCATGAATCAACCACAAAAAATGAGAGTAGATATAAATAAATGTCCATTACCTTGGCAAATATTGATAAATCTTAGCGGCTACAATGATCGTATAAGACTCATAAGCTACAAGAACTTATTATAAAACTCTTATGTAAGAACTGAAAAGAAAGCTGTGATCAGGCACTTTTTTACAAGTTATTTACGATTGTGCACAGATTTCGTATTCATATATTGAAACATTGTTTGATTTTCTTTTCTTTTTAGATTTCTTAAAATACATTCGACAGACACCGTTCTAAACTTATATTACAAATGTCTTCATCGAATAATCTGCTGTCCCGAGCTAAACTCCATGGTTCTGAATTTGTTGTCAAAGTCAATCATCGTATGTTAATCGAAAAAATACTCGCTCGATATTCGTCAGACTTTGTTGTCTGTCGAGAGCTCATTCAAAATGCTGATGATGCTAAAGCAACATCATTTTGTTTCGAACTTTCATGCGAATCAAATGGTTCAAGAAGAGGAACATTGCACAACAGCATTGTTACTGAAATTCGCGCAGTTAATAACGGAGCAATCTTTTCGGAAACCGATTGGGAACGGGTAGCATCAATTGCAGAAGGCAATACTAACATTGAATCAGTGGGACAATTTGGTGTTGGATTTTTTTCAGTTTTTTCGTTTTCAGAAGAGCCAATCATTAAATCAGGTAAACAATATATGGCATTTACTTGGCGGAATGATTCATTGACAACATATCGCTGTGAACTACCCAGCGCAGAACATTCTAATTTGACTTCGATTAATCTGAAAATGCGGAGTAAATATGTTCTTAATACCGAAAAAACATTGACCGACAGAGACAATGAACTCTATTCTCAATCAGCGACTAACGAAAAGAAGACGAGTGCAACTAAAATCGGAGCCATCCCAACAATCAATTTATCGCAAATGAAAGCTTATTTCACTAAAGGTAAGTAAAACTAATTTCAGTGTGCTCGTAACCAAATTAAAAATATCAAGTTAGTTGAGATTTCGGTCGTTGCTAGGAGTGAAGAAGCTTAAGATTTCAAGAATTATTGATACTTAACCAATGTAATACAGATTCTTTTTCCATTTGACTGAAAAAAGCGAGTATTTTAAAATTCTTTTAAGCTTATCACTTACTCAGCAATAAACAATTCTAGCTGTGAAATAAAATTTTGTTTTGGAAATTTCTAAATTCTGGCATAGACATGAGGCTGTAATCCACGGTCATTGTATACTTTCAGTATATTCTAGTTTTTGCCAGTATACAGATACACCTAAATTTTGCAGCAACTGATCCAATAAAGATTAATATTTACTGATAGGCGTATTCATAGAAAATATGACGCAAAATCAAGGGGGAAACGGCGGACTTGAAGTAGAAAAGTACGCCAAAGTACGTCAAAGTAGACTACTTGAAGTAGCTCAAAGTACCGCCCAAGTAATCCAAAGTAGGAACAAGTAGCTTAAAGTAACTTCAAGTATATTTGAAGTTGAAAAGTACTTCAAAGTAAGCTACTTCAAGTAGCTGAAAGTAACTTGAAGTAGCTTAAAGTAGCTCAAAGTAACTTCAAGTCGAAAAGTCCGCCGTTTCCCCCTTGCGCAAAATTCTATTCAAATATAGTCAGATGCTCTAGAAAGTAATGAGTTCAATTAGAAATCAAATATAAGGTTCTCTGTGTCTCTTAATAAAGCTACTGTATTTTTCTTCGTATAGTGCTCTCATTTACAATTCATATAAACGAAGTTTTGATTAAAATTAACGATTCAATTAAATTTCAAGTCAATAAAAGGAAAAAACAAATCGTTTCGTTAACAAAAGAAACATCAACATTCAAAATAAAATCAATATCAAATATGCTTCTTCTCAACTCGTTCGTATCAACAGCACAAACATTTTCCATTGCTAATGGTCCATCAATGACTTTGATACATATTGATGTTATCGCAAAACTAAATATCGATGAAGAATTTCACAATCAAATTAAACGCATCTTAAAGAAAAGTCTTCCATCTAACGTTCGAATTCAATTATTATATGTACCAACTAATGTAAGTCGAGTATCAACTCATTTAATTTCATCAGATATCACAATTATTTTACTTTAAGACTATTTCGGAACTACAATCCATCTCGTCGGATAAAATCGATCTTGAAACTCAAATTCTTAATTCATTATTACCTCTCAAGTATTATGAAAATCCAATTATTCCATCAGGTCGTGTCTTCATTGGTCTTGGAACACATCAAACAACAGGTTTTGGAATGCATCTCTGTAGTCATCTAATTCCTACAATGGAGCGTGAAAATCTCGATATGCAAGATCCACATTTAGAAAAATGGAACAAAGAAATTCTTGCAGCAACGGGACAAGTAGTTCGTTTCATTTATGATCAATTGATATTTGATAGCGATCAACTTAAGCATAGTTTATCTGCCCAATTCTCAACATTTTCATTTCAGACCTCTGTTCCAAATGACAAAATTGGTTTGCTACAAAAAAAAGAAACGACGAAAATCTATGTTTTGCTATTGTTGTTTTAGGTCTTGCTATTCTCAATGGGTTTTTTGCTTCAAAAGAAAATGTTCTAGTGCCTGTCAAACAACCAACATTACCTTCACGATTGCCTCTTGTACCATCATCAGAAGCTTTTCTTGCTTATTCAAAATATATCCATTCATTTCTTTCACTTCCACTTGTCCCACTTGAACTTTCAAATAATGGATTGTTTAATGAACTTAAACAACGTAAACTACTACAAGAAGTCAACTATGATGTTATCAAGCATACTTTACAAACATGTATTCTTCTATCAAATGAATTTACTGGATTATTGCATTGGTTATGTAGTACTGAAGTTAACAATGATAAAGATTTTATTGAAAGTATCTTCTTAACTATTCGTTTTCGGGATAACGATAATTCACCAGTTATAACCTTAGAAAAAATTAAACATTATGATGAAATTAATCCATCACCACTTTTACCTTTACCATCGAATGTTATACCTTCTAGAATAGCTATCCATATTTCAGATGAAAATTTTAATAAACATTTATCACTAACACCATTAACATTTGATGATCTATTAAATTTTTATTTTCTTGGTAATCAAAAGTATCTTTTCAAAGATCGAAATAAAGTTGCGCATCTATTCAATTTAATTTCAAGATATTGGACTGATATTCAACTATCTAGAAAAGATCAAATGAAGAAAATATTATCACAAATTGAATGCATACCAACAGCAAAAGGGATGAAATTACCTAAAGAATCATATATTCGATCACAAATATTATCACCTGACTTACCTATAATTACAATGAATGTTGTACAACATATGAATCAAATTAATATGGATGGAATGCGAGTCAATAATCGTCGTAGAATCCAATTGAATAATGATTCAGATGATCGTGTTTTAGATGAATTTCTTAAGTTAATTGGATGTCGAACAGTTCATGTACAATCGTTCATCGCGCATCAAAATACTCTTTCAAATACACCGAAGTCAATCAAAGACAGCTGTCTAATATTCATTCAGTATTTGATCGATTCATATAAAACTATGAGTGAAGAAGATATCGCAGCATTGAAACAAACTCAATGCTTTGCAGGTATATACATAATAACTTAGAACGGTTGATAATCTTCCAAAATTGAACTAGAAGTTAACAAGGAGCATGATCATCTTTTTCTAATCCTAGATATACTTTATTCATCTCGTTAGGTACAACAATTCAATCGAAAAATGAAATAGTTGGTCTATTCGGTCCTGACGAGTTACTCTTTTCAGAGGCTGCGCATCAACTTAAATCTAATACAGTGCATATTATATTTTGGCCTCCTGATTCTATCGATTCGAGCATTTATCACTTTCTGTGTTCCCTTGGCGTACGCGAAGCTCCTAATCTTGATGATCTCATTGACATGATTGCCGAAGATTTTAAGAATCAACGTTTCGAGCAAGGCGCATCATCATACATCATACCGCCATCACTTGAATTCTTGGCCAAAAATGTTGAAAAGCATTATCCAGAACTTTGGAAAAAAAAAACAAATCGACGAGCCTTCCTTCCAGCTCAATGGCCAGCTAATCCAAGTAGTCGACGTGCTAATCGTAAAGACAATAGCATAGTATTGATGTCTGTGGAAAAGATTTTTAAAAGTTTGAATCTTTCTTGAAATATTAGACTACACTTATAATTTTGTTGTTTCTGTTAGATTCCAATCCATTATGTGCTTGTCCTTTGCCACAAGTAGTGGCATTATTTAAAGAGCACTTGGATCTCTCAATATTGGGTCTCAAAGAAAAACCATCATTGAAGGAAGCCTTTGAAATACTCATGGAGAGGAAAAATGTAGTTCTTACATCACTCGAATGGACTGGATCCATTTTTAAGTTTATGAATAGTTTGGATGGTATGGGAACAGAATTAAAAGAGCAAATCTCTAAATTAGCTTTTATTCCATTTCAAGGTTGTACCAATTGTTATGATTCATACTTATTTAAGTAGAAATTTTAGGTAGCGATGAGCTAAGGAAACCGTCTGAAGTCTTTATTCGTTCAGATATGTGGGCAACTTCAAGAGCACAATCAGAGAATGTTATTGAAATTGATGCAAGTGGGTTGATTGATTACGTAGATTTCGGATTCGATGGCAATTCGTTTCTTCGTAATATTGGCGTCACGAATGAACCATCGACTTCATCGCTGGCTAAGTTATTGTTAGATCGCCAAGCCAGTTTCTTTAGAAATCAGAAACGTTCAAATGAAGAAAAAACACGCACATATCTTGAATGTCTTAGACGTCTAGCAAGTTGTGCCAACTTTATTAAAGACACTATTAAGGACCAATCATTGATCACAAGACTCCAGAATGAGCCATGGTGTCTTGGGTTCATCTATAATGATGATAGTAAAGATATCAAACAGACTTATCAAATTGCAGCACCAAAAGATATATATCTGGTCGATGACTCTAATATTGCATCCCATTTCCGTCCATTATGTTCTCCTATTAATCCAAATTTAAATAACTTATACAAAGAATTTGGATCCAGATGGCTACGAGACTGTATTAAGATGAAGATTTCACTCCGAGGTATTGTCATTTCTGCATTGAACTTTTCCGTACATATTATTTCAATAGGTACTTAACTATGGTGATTTTCAGCACCAACATTTCTCAGCTAACTAGATTACTGCAGAATGAATTAAACTCAAATTTAATAGGTTTTTATTTTTTTTTGTCAAAAAATAACTTAAGCTACACAACAGAACATGTTAAGTCTAATACAGACGAGATCGAAACTAGACATCGTGTTTTCTAAAAAATAATCTACAGCGTTTTGTTTTTATATTTTGTACAACAAAAACTCTTGCGCTAATTTATATTGATACACAAAGAGTATTGATGTGTACCTGACCATTATCATAGTTATACCAAAGAAACTAAACATTTTTGACTTAAAAACTTATGGCTGGTCATAGCATTTAGACCAGAGATAACTATTTGTTCCCTCATTTTGTGGAACTCACGTATATTTTCGAAGAAAATAGTGAGTGTAAGTTTTAAGTTCAAGATTTTGCGGCTCCCCCCCCTCCCCCCTTACAGACAGGCCCCAATTACAGACCATAGCAACAGAAGAGAACATTACAGACATACCCCCCATTATACAGACCATAACAACGTAGGCCCCCATTGCAGACCTTAGCGACCAGGTTTAAATTAATGGATATACATATACATATATATATAACAGCTTCATTCGGCACATAATTCAATGCTTCTTGTAATAAAAATGTAAAATTAAAGAAAAAAAAGCAGTGTTAAAAATGAAATATACTGAGCGAATAGCAACAAAGAAGACGAAAAATGAGGACGCCTGTCAGAAAATTAAAACTTCGTGTTTTTATACTATTTATATTGCATATTAGTATAATGAAGCTGAAGAATATACGTGAGTTCCACATTTCAGCCCCAAAGGGGCTGCGCTAACAAGCTTTTGTTTACAACATCAAGGGCGACAGGTTCAACTGTAACACAGTTTTATGGAAACTACTTATCATATTATCTACATCAGTTCATTTCTGCATGTCTCTTTTGAATAATTGCGATAGTCGCCAAAAAATTATATAAACTTGTTTAATTTGCGGTTTATTTTCAAATAATTAAAATAGGTTGCCAACGTCAAACCAATCAATCAAAGGAACTACGTGATTTGATCTCGGACCGGCTTGACTTGCTCGTTGTTAACAAACGCGTAAATAAATTTATTAACGGAAAATAATGCTCATCAATATATTATCATATTATTCTTTTAGGGTGAAAAAATACTGAAACTAAAGGACAAATCATTTGAATTGCTTCGTAAAAGTCTAATCATTTACGTAGTCGATAGTATTGATTGTCACATGAACTTTCAAGGGCTGTCACTTTCGGTAAGCTATGTAGACTTACATTATTTGACTAGTTCTTTTGTAGAACACTGATATGAAAACATGTGAAATCCAATCTTCCAATGATGGAGTTGTGTTGTATATAAAAAATCAAACTGAAATCGAATATATAGATATTGCTAGCACTTTAGGACAGTTTTTAATTGATGAAGCAACAGAAGACATGCTTTGTGGAATTAAGGTGAAACTTGAAAGTTCTTTGGGCACACTTGAACGATTTGGTTATCCTATCGATCGACTGCGCATAAAGCCGCCGACGCCAGCAGATGGTGAATATCGCTCTTTAAAAGAAAATAATATACAGAAAAGTAAACAATATATTTTGCACTAGTTCTAATGGAACAGCGAATTCTACCTACAACGACTGTTGAAAAGAGTCAACATAATTCAAATGCTAAAGATCACAGAAAATTAGAAAATGCTGTTATCAACAAATCTGCAAGCAGCAAGACAAACACTAATAGGGTTCCAAGTTCGGATAGCCATGAAAAGTCTAATGTTACAACTAATTCTACATCAGATGAGGCAGATTATGATTCGCTTACGCCTGCAACTATCAAAAAGACTGTTTTAGAATTGCTTCGGCCCTATAATGACAAGAAACGTTTCACATTAAGCAATAAAATTGACATTAAAAGACCGACTAGAAAACCGTGCGAAGCACCACAGAATATTAATTTACAATGTTATAAAGATCTTTTTCACGGAATCCCATTTTACACAGAAGAAAATGTGGGTATAAATGACTCAATGCTCAATCGAGTTCAGCAACTAGCGATTGTACTCAGTGGTCTTGCCACTTCTGTCTTTAATACACCAGTAATTTTGATGAAGCTCTATCGAGATGCTGATACACATAGTTTGCGTAAGATTTTAACTGTTCGAAAACTGATGTAATTTATTGATTTATTTAGTTCGAATTGGATTCCATTATAATCATTCACTTTATTTTAATATACGTTATTTTGAAAGTACATTTGCTGAAATACTTGATCTCAAAGTTACAAATGCTGGTAATAATGATTCAAATAAGCATGATATTATCAATTTTTACTTTATGAAATCATGTCATTTACTCGTACATAATGTTCATGTTGATCATAATATCAAATTTATTCGTGCACTTGAAGATACTGTAATCAAATTTTTACCAGCGAAAGATTCCTTTCTTCAACAATTTAAATTTTCTTGACAATTTCAATGAACATCAAATACAACGATAGACACAATCATAAGAATATTTATAATACATTTACGACATTATCAATCTTGTCGGAGAAATAAACATGCATATACTAAACTATGGCGCGAAAGTCTTGGCAGCAGAGGCGGCGCGAAGAGGTTAAAGCAGAGGGGTTCTTTCGAAAGATGGGAGGGTGTGGGTGTGGGTATGGGTGTCGGGTGGATGTGGATGTGGGTGTGGGTGTGTTGGTGTGGGTGTGCGTGTGTGGATGTGGGG